TTCCTCAAAACCTAAGTGAAGGGAAGTTACTCCATAGAGAAGAGAGAGACTGCAGTAAGAATCTTCAGATGATCAATCTTCAAGTCCGGGCTTGATTCCCGAGCTCCAATGGCGAAGAAATCCTCCAAAATAGCTCCAAGAATGTTCCCAAGTCGCTCTCTCTCTCTAGGGTTCGTCCCTTGGGTGTTTGGGATCCAAAACCCAGCTCTCTCTCTCCTTTGGCTCGAATTTGGGTTAAAAAACCCGATTCTGGGCAAAACACGGTCGCGGGCACGGCCGTGCTTTGCTTTTGACCGCCCGTGTTTTGCCCCGTGTTAAAAACACGCTCGGTCGCGTTGGTCAAAACACGGTCATGCCTAAATATGGGCACGGCCGTGTTTTGATTTAGGCGCGCCCGTGTTTTTACTGCCGAACCTGTTCCCCTATATTCAATGCTTCGTTTCTCCCTCGTCCGGACTCCGAATCAGTCGCCGTTTGATCCCAGACGCTCGTAGTCTCGTCCTCTTTCTTTGCATGACAAGCTTGCATGATTCTTTGTCCATAAAGTGAGGTAGAAATCCATTCTTCTTCAGGTCATGCCCGAGTTTCTGCTCCCGAATCGCCAATTGATCTCTGATTGACTTGAAACTTGCGCCTATGCTTCACTTTATGTGCTAGGACCTGAAATGTGACAAAGGAACACAACCTAGCGTAAAATAGGCCAAAGACACGGTAATTCAAGCTCAAACAATCAAGAAACAAAGGGGAAAACATGTGCAAATACCGAGTCATCAGCAAGATATAAGTCTCTCCTAAACATTACTAGATGGAGCTAGTAAGTCAATATTAAAAGCCAAAATTAACATCAACTACGAAATCAATTTTCTATTGCAATATTTTCAATAGCTCAAGAACTTTGTGAGCTATTGAGTGAGTTCATGAGCTATGTTCTTGTCATTAAGTGTTGAGTAAGTTATTAATCATTTTTTAACTGAAGTGAGGAAGTGTTGTAGATAATTATTTCATTCATCATGCAGTGCGAATATCTATTTTTCTTCCAACGCCTAGGCACGCTTAGTCTACGCCTAGGCGAGCTAGGCGCAAGGCAAAGACTCAACGCCCGCCTTACGCCTAGCGCCTTTTTGAACCTTTATAAATTACACAACCTTTCAAAACATATATGGATATTGAAATACCCGCCCATCATCCACCAGCAATGGCGGATCCAGGGGGTGGCCACCCCAGGCCACGACCCAGCCCTCCTCTGGATCCGGAGCTAGTATAGCTCATATGAGTTTATCGATTTAGTGTTATTCTATAATAAGATTGTGTGTAATTAGAAAAATGGATCAGATGAACATATTCAAATCACAACTCTAAATTTAGCCTGAAAGCTCTAGCTCCAATGATTCTCGTCTAAAGAAAAACAAACAATGAAACCTAAAATTAAAAGTCTAAAACGTAAAAGACTAAAAGAAATATATATTGATTAGTCGATTGATTTGTCTAGTGTTGACATTGCTCGTTTCAACAACTACTATGGAGAGAACCTTTTCAACAATGAAATAGGTGAAAAATTATTTGCGCAACAAAATGAGCGATGAATTTCTCGCCAATTGGTTAACTATTTTAGCTTAAAGAGAGTATGATATTGGTAAGGATGTAGACTTCATTATTGATGAATTTATTATATTCAAATTTAAATGATCGACGTGTAAAATTGATATTGTGAAAAAACTATAATTTTTTATGATATCTAATTTTCTAATGAAATGCGACTCAATGCTCTACTGTGTACTAGATCTGCCGCTGTCCACCAGCACATCTGCACATGTCAAACCGATCGTGAAGTTACTAACGGCCGAAAGCTACAGTTACGCCAAAATATTTAATGAAGCCAACTCCCACGGCAGTTGGGAGCAGCCCCCCTCCCAATTTAACACCATACATCGGAACCGAGGAATCAAACGCATTTAACCATCCCATATATCTACGGACGGATTGCATCTCGTCCACCACCAAATTCACCCAAAACAGAAACTGCCCTTCATTGGGTTTTCTTAGATAGTGGAAATAATAGAGCACTCCTAGTACACCTCATAAATACGGTGCCAAATTCATGAAACTATGAGATTCGAAATTACAACTTCTTTAATGAATAACAAAGGCAGCCGAATAACAAAGTCGTTCATTATGGGGTCCGAATATGGTGCCCACTTTATAGTCTGAGTCATCGTGACCACCAAAAAGAGATCATGTACTTATTAGGTTTGAACAATAAATCTCTATTAATTATGTTTTTGGATAATTAACATTAATTAAAATGTTAATGTATTTTATCTAAAAATATTAATTATTTTTCCATCATATTTACTATACATATATAATTCTTCATTCTAGTTATTTATTGTTATATTTTCTACTTACAAATATACCTGTAATTGTTAACATGTTTGTTTGAGTTAAAAGAAAATTTATTATCCATGGATACCCAAAAAGCGATAAAGCATTTTCATGATTTTGATTTTCTATCAGGTTCTTGTGTGGCTATGGGTAATAATTTGGATACAATAACAAATATGCACCATCCATCTCTGACATGATCTGTTGCCACTTGTCAGGGCCGGAACTAGGTAATCCCCGACCCCCAGAATTTTGAAAATTACGTTAGTCGTCGATAATTTTTTGAATTACTAATAAACTGAAGGACATATACTAAACCAGGTGGGGGTAATAATATACTAAAACTCTGTTGTGGTTTAGCGGACAACATCCACACTTTATTATGCTGGATGCTGGTACGACCTATAAAAGATTTTCCACCCTTCCCGGTTGCTTACACTAAAATGCTTTTTTAATCATTGCTTTTTAATTAATCACTTTCATATTAAGGATAATATTAGACATGTAATGGCTAATTCCTCACTTATCAATAAAAAACTAATATAGATGAAAAATATTATTTGAGTTGCTAAAATTTCTTTAGTAATTTAACTATTTAAGTCAAGTGTTGAGGAGTGTGTAAGGTAATAGTGTAAAATCTATTCATGATCTTTTCCTAACAACTTGTATCATTGTGACCAACTGATTATTCACCATATATCAACCTCAATTTGATTTTGATAATTTGATGTCAAAATCCAAATCCAACTATAGGGTTTCACTTGGAATTCACTGAAATCCATTTTTAGGATAATAATCTTAGATACATAATGACTAAGTTAATATTTTAGAAAATACTAATACCAACATACATTTGTTTTCGGTTATAGAAGGGATAAAGAACATGTAGACTCTAAATTACATGATTTTTTCTTCGTAATTTATTAATTTATATTTAACAAATATTATAATAAAAATGTGTTTAGATCATACTTTTGAGTGATAGTATATCTAAACAATCTTCACTGACAGTAATAATAATTATATATTAATTTTATTTATATTACTACACCGAGTCCCGCTAGACAAAATTCCCGGCTCCGCCCTGGTCTGTGGTCATCCCTATATGCCTCTCTTTCTCCGGTCGCCTTATGCCTCTTTGCTTCTGCCTTTCTCCTTTCAACCGCCTCTATCTCGCAGCTTCTAAAGCAAAACCAGTACAAACAAGCTAAGCATGTACCCATCTCCGTTAACAAAGAGGGATTGGAGGAGGGAGAACACTAGACCGAAAGATGGAGCGAAAGAGGGAGAGAGAGTGAGAGTGAGAGATCGACATATATGATCTCCTGGGCCTCTTTTAAAACTACTCGTAATGACGACTGGTGGGATTTTGGATGAACGGTGAATGAATTGCTGGTTACGATACCAATCTCTATGAAAATAGACATTATAATTTACACCTTATTAACGTAATACCTATAAACAAATTAATAATAATAATAATAATAATAATAATAATACAACTAGTAAGAAACTTACCCTCTCCTTCTCACTAACCTCAAAAATTTTATTTTTCTCTATTACCACTCTTTCTAACTCCGCCTTGCTCAACCTCTCTCTCTCTTACTTTTTTTCAAAATTTTCCTCTGTCCTCTCTCTTCTCCTCCAGTCCCTCTGCTTGGGTTTTCGCAGGGGTTGCCGCCGGCACCTCTTGGTGACCGGCGGTAGCCCATTTTTCTTTCATCTTCCTTGCTTTTTATGCTTTCTTGCCACTGGTTTGGCCTTTTTCAATCGGATTTTCCAGCTTTTTAGCTTCTCCTGCCTTTATGGCCTTTCGTTGCCCTGTTCTAGGGTTTCTTTCTGGATTTGCTCTCCTTGGAGTTGGGTTATGCATCTAGAGGTCTCCTCTTTAGATGGTGGGTTCAACAACATGCATGGTGAATCGATTCATTGTTTTCCCCTCCGTTCCCCCTGTTGGTAGTCATCTGCCTCTTGGTCGGCGTCGGTGGAAGGAAGGCGATGTCTGGCCCTTCTGACTGCGGTTTCAGACCTTGGATTTTGGAGTTTGGGTTCCTCTTCTCCCTTGACCAAGTTCTTGGTGTCTCGTCTTCCTCTGCTTTTTCAGCTCGGAGCATTTCGATCCTCTACCCTTTCCACCGCCATGTAATCCCTCACAAGAGATTCACTGTGTTGAGCGTCTTCGAGCGACTCCCAGGAGGCGGCATTTGGCGTTGTATTCAATTGTCATGGACTCGGTCGGATCGGACGAGCTGATTATGCTTGGTGCTCTTTGATTGGTTTGTTTGCAAGGGAGCTTTCGGTGTCTTCTGGATCTGATTCAAGTGTTGCTGATGTTTTGGGTTGATATTTTCTGTGTTCTGTTCTTCTCTTTTTGTATTCCTTTTAACACAGATTGTACAACCGTGTGCTTTTGTTTGGCTTGCCTTGATCTTTTCTGGGCTTCTTTGTTTGGCTTCCTTTGTAACTTTTCTCTCAAAGAGCAATACAAGTAAATCCTTTGTCAAAAAAAAAAAAAACTCCGCCTTTATCATGGGATATAGAAATTGAACCAAAAAGCAAAGTGAATAAACTCTTGTTGCTATTAGTTGCCTCACCAGACTTTTTTTTTTTACAACTACCACCTTTATCAATTAATGACTGCAAAATCCTGCCCTTTATAAAATCCTACACACCCTCCTCCTAAAAGCTAAAACCCAACAAAAAAAAAAAAAAGAGACACATAGGCTCTGCTTCATTCAAAGTTCAAACCAACAATGGAAGGGCGCGCAGAATGCGGCGGCGGCAGAGCATTGGGCGGGACGGAGCAGAGCTGGTCTCGAGCTGTTCCCGGCGGCACAGGCACCGCCGTCCTAGCAATCCTCACCACCAATCCCCCCGATTCCGCCTCCCTCAACGCCGCCCTCCACAAACTCCAAACCTCCCATCCCATTCTCCGGTCAAGACTCCACCACCACCACCACCACCACAATAACTCCACTCGTACTACCCCCGCCGCCGCCGCCGTCTCCATCGCCCCCGCCGCCGCGCCTTTCGTCAGGGTGAAACAGGTCAACCTCTCGTCAACCCTCAACATCCTCACCGCCGCTGACTCCTCCTCGCCGCCGCTGCAGCTGATTCTGGAGCACGAGCTGAACAACAACCAATGGGCTTCTTCCACCGCGACTGCCACTGCCAAGCCGGAGAACAACAATATCGAGGACTTGTTTTTCGCGACGACCTACGCGCTGCCCAAGGACAAGTGGGCGGTGGTCCTGAGGCTCCACGTGGCGGCCTGCGACCGCACCACGGCCGTGTCTCTGCTGAACGAGCTGCTGGCGCTGCTGGTGGCCGCAGGGGAAGAGGAGGAGAAGAAGTACTGGCCGCCGGGAGAAGAAGGGAAGGAAGTTGGCGCGGCCATCGAGGAGCTGATCCCCAAGGGGAAAGCGAAGAAATCCGTGTGGGCGCGTGGGGTCGACATGGTTGGCTACTCGGTTGGTTCGTTCAGGCTGACCAATTTGAGGTTCGTCGATGCCAGGTCGGATCGGCGGTCGCAGGTGGTCAGGTTCCAGCTGGATCGCGACCAAACCGAGAAGCTGCTCGCTGTGAGTATTAATTAATTACTACTTACAGACTTACATTGCTGGTTGATTAATTAGAAATTGGATGAATCGTTGACGCCTGATGAATCTTATATCATTCTCTTATACGTTTTCGAAGGGATGTGAGAAGGTCGGGATAAAGCTGTGCGGGGTGTTGACGGCGGCGGGGATGATAGCTGCGCAGTATAGCTTGAGGAAGAAGAATCTTAGTAGTAATCGTCGTGGTGGTGGTGGGGTTGAGAAACAGAGGAAATATGGAGTTGTGACGTTGACGGACTGCAGGTCGATTCTCAGCCCGTCTCTTTCGCCGCACCATTTTGGTAATTGATCTTTGTCTTGCTCTGTCGATTTCTTACCGCTCTGTTTTTTGGTTTTTACCGTATATAACTCCTTTTGCATAGCAGCACCGACTATTTACTGTGCATGCTGTCCAAATAAAGGAACTTGTTACTACTGTTTTCTGAAAAGTGGGAAAACAGAGTAACTCTCTACCATTGACTTTTAGCTTGGAACCCAGTAGACTCTCTAGCTTGGAGAAAAACAGAGTAGGGCCTAGTGTGTGTTTCTATGTAGGGACTAAAAAGTTTGTTGCTAGGAATGTTAGTTTTGATTCGTACGTTCTATCATCTATGTAATTAAGAGATTCGAACTAACATAATTTTTGAAGGTAGGTCTAGAATCATTAGATTAAATTTTTGTTGAACTATAATAAAGTTTTGAATATATAAGAAACTTAAATTTTCGAATATTTTAACTATATTTATTATGTCAAGAAAATTATTTTTAATTATTTCTCCTCCAAAATAGTCTACCTGTCCGCTTCTTACCCCAATACAAAATATCCGACTTGGATCCTACCTATCACAATTCACAATTAGGGATGACAACAAAACCAGAACCCACGGGTACCCACCCGATCCAACCCGGTCAACGTGGGTAAAACCCGTGTTAACGGGTTTTGGGCTGGGTTCGGGTTTAAACCCGCTACACTATTCACCGGGTCGAGTTGAGTTTGGGTTTAGGTAAACCCGCCCAATGGGTACCCGCCCACACATATATAATTACTTTCCCGGTATATTTAATATTGTAAATAATATATCTTCCTTAAACAACTAATATTCTTTATGTTTGTGGAGACATGTATAATTTGTTCTTTCTAATTGTTTATAATGAAGTTGATATTATGAAGTGGAGAGTGAAGAAACTTAGTTGACGAGGAATAAGTTTTCAATTAATCTTATTGTTTATAGATGTTTATCTTTAATTTTGAACAATTTGTATTGATCATTTGCGGTTTGCTTGTATGCTCTAGATTGGTGTTTTTTGTATAAGAAAATTGATGTTAAACTTTTAGTTTGAAAGAAACTTGTTATTGTAAATTTTTTACCACAAAAACCCACGGGTACCCATGAACCCGCGGATACCCAGCGGGTTGGGTTGGGTTTGCATTTTTCAAACCCAACAGGTTTTACCCCGGATTTTTTTGTCGGACAAACCCATGAGTTCGAGTTTGGGTTTGACCCAACCCGACCCATTGCCATCCCTATTCACAATCACAAGATCGCTATAGATACATTGATACCCGTCCCTGCTTGCCTCATTGCCTATTTATTGGGAGCAAACTATTATAAGGAAATAAAATTCTCTTACGAATGATTCTGCTTTCCTTAATTATTGTTCCTTTTACACTTTGTTTTATATCGATGTTCTGAGGTATCTATGAAAAAAAAAAAACACTATTACTAAACCCAGCCTGCAACGTAACCCATGTGATACAAAAATGGTAAAATTTACAATGGCAACTATACATTAATAGAAGTGGCAATAACGTTTTAGTATGACATTTTCAAGACTTCAAGACACTATATATAGTACACGATTATTCTACTACTTCATTGCAATTAAGTTATGAATGTATGTTCAATTATTTTTTTCATAGATGTGATTGATTGTTTGTGAGAAACCTTTTCAACCCTTAATCAAATTCCGCAGGATTCTATCACTCTGCCATCATGAACACCCACACCCTGAAACCCACACCGTCATCGGTAGGAGGCAACTCGACCGAAACGCCGCCATACCACCTCTGGGAAGAGGCGCAGAAGGCGTACAAGGCGTTCCGGAGCTACAAGGAAAGCGACCGGCAGTTCACCGACATGGCGGACATCAACTTTCTGATGACCACCGCCCTCGACAACCCTTCCCTCACTCCTTCCTCCGCCCTCAGGACGTCCCTCCTGTCCGTCTTCGAGGACACCGTCGTCGACGACAACTCTGGCGGCGGCGCCGCCAGGGACGTGGTGGGGGTGGAGGATTACATGGGCTGCGCCTCTGTTCACGGCATCGGGCCTTCCCTCGCCGTGTTTGACACGATCCGGGAGGGTAAGCTGGACTGCGTGTGTGTTTACCCGTCGCCGCTGCATTCCAGGGAGCAGATGGTGGAGTTTGTGGACAAGATGAAGAGCGTTCTTGTGAGTTGTTGAGAGAGAGAGAGAGGGTTTGGATGAGGTGGGTGAGTTCGGGTTGGGTTTTTCCAGGTAATTTTGGATCCCCGGTTGTTGCTCTTGTTATGTGTAGTAGAATAACTGAATAAGTGCCGCCGCGGCAACGCCGGCGAGAACATTGGTTGCAAGGGAGAGGTTGGTTTTTATATTAATTAGTTTATAAGCCAAACCGTTGGCCGGAATGTTTGTATTTGATTTTCTACATTTTATATTTTTATGTTATGTTTAATTTTATCAACTCTTTTAATTTTATTGGCAATCTTTCGATGTTCGATCGATACATAAAAAATGAATGTATAAATTGAATATTTGAAGAAATACCATCATAATTTAAGATTACAAAATATAAAAATGTATTCATAATCCCATTTCATAATGATAATTAATCACCCGTTAAAATTCTATTGGTTAATTGATTGTCGGGAGAGATAGAGTATAAAAACCCATAGGAATTCCCACACAACCCATATATAATTGGAAACTAAAACTAATAAAATCTCATAATTCGACATAAAGGGTTTAATACTATACTTTTAGCAACATGCCACTAATTACAAAGAAATGGAGAGTTGTTGATTCAAGTCGACCATGTACTAACAACTCGACCAAAATTAGACAAAATTATGATTACCTCCAATATAGTAATAGACTCGATCAAAGTAATATGACACAAAATTAGACACTGCTTATCTACGAGTTCCAGTAGTTTGAATAGAGAATCGACCTTAATTTTAATAAATCGATCAATGATTCCTCATTTTGAGATAGACATAGGTTGTGGTAGCTGCAACAACCATAAATCTAAAGACCAATAACCACTATTATCCGTTGTACAACCAACTTTTTATCCCCTCTATCTCCAATCTCAAGAGACATTTCTTTCAACCCAAAAATCACTTTGTAATCCTTCTCATGCAATTCTATTTATGCTACTTTGATGGACCTTCTCTTTGTAGCCCTCAATTTCTCTTCCAATTAGGGTTCTTGTCAACTTGCTCTTCAACTCTTCAATTATTTTCTTGTATTTGACCAACTCATATTCCTTAGGGGCAGTTGTAATAAGATTGGTAAAACCAACCCTCTTTTCCAATTTCATCAATATGCTCATATCCTCCTTGATTGCCTTCACCTGCTCCAGTTCACTTCCATGCCCTTCAATACCCTCTCCATTTTCATTAATATCCTCATCATCTCTCACTTCTCTCTCTTCAACTACTCCAATTTCGCTTCCATGTCTTTCAATACTGTTGGGCCCATAGTTGAGCAGTGTTGGGCTTAAGGCCCAAAAGGAGTCGGTCAGGCAAGGCCCAAAGGAAAACCCAGGCGAAGCCCAGCGGAGGACCCAAGGAGGGAGCGTGCGTAGGGAAAAGAGAGCGGCGGGCGCCCACTCCAGAATGGGACAAGGAGTAGGCCTCCTGACATAAAGTGTCGTAGGTGGCAGGAAGAGAAGATATTCCTAGGATATTCACCTCGCACACTGCAGTGCTGAGCATTAATTGCCTGCCATAGGCGGTCTAGATAAAGCAGGGTGTGTCTAGGGGGCCTGACATGGCATTTAATGCCCCAAACACAACCTAACTAACTATAAATACCTTCATATCTGCATTGATGGTAACTCAACTACTTCCTCTCTCTCTCTAAACATAAACATAAATTCTCTCTTCTCTCTCTAACTTAAGCATTGGATAGTGTCTTGGGTGACCGCCCACGGACCCTTGTTTTGCAGGGATTAGGAGTGCAACCACCCTCTGGAATAGGCGCTTTGCTAGTTCTTTATTAAACCGCCTAGAACATTCTAGGCTCAAACAATTTGGTGTCCACCGTGGGGCGAGCAAAGGAAAAGATGGATGAGAGCTCCAAGACCCCCGTCAAAGGTGTGGTAGAAAGAAGCGACCTTCGTGGCCAAGAAATGCAAAGAAATGATATCCGCGGACTGGAAATGCCAACGGTGGAAGAAGAAATGGAAATGGAGGACCGCATCAAAAGTCAGGGGCAACAAATATCAAGCATTCATGAAAGTTTGAGCCAAATCTTGGCCATGCTCAAGGAGAAGGGAAGCGAAGCGCCGGAGAACTCAGGAAGACAAGCAACGAAGGGAAAAGGAAGGGAAGAGTATCCTGACAGCCCTGCTCAGACAGAAGGCGGGGAGTCCGACAAAGAGGAGGGCGCGGAAGAATTCAGCTTGGGCTTCGTGGAGGAACACCTCAAACCCTCATATGGAAAGATAAAGGGTCACAACATCCTCCAGAACCCACTAGACAAGAGCTTATTTAAAACTCAAGTTCCCCCAAACTTCTCATCTCTGGGACTGCTGACTTACAACGGAAGTTCCGATCCTGCCGACCACTTGAGCGCCTTTATGCTGACCATGCAGATAATCAATGCCACAGACGCTAATCTGTGTAAGGCGTTCCCTGTCACGTTTAGTGGCCACTGCCGAACTTGGTACACTTCTCTGCCCGAGGGGATAATTGAAAACTTGGAGCAGTTCGCCACCCTCTTCTCCTCAAAGTTCGCGTCTCAGTGAAGAAGGAAGCTGACGGTGTCAGCGCGCATTAAGAAGGAACATGCTCTGAAGGAGTGGCCCGATTTGGACCGCCTAGTGAGGAAAGTGATCCAGCTAGAAGAGGCCATGATCATAGAAGATGCCGCCAAGCATGTCAACCCAAGAGTGGAGAAGGACGATAAGAAAAGGGGAGGATCGCCAAAGAGAAGAGGGCGTTCTCCAAAAAGGCGCAACTACAAACCGCGATTTTCTCATCGAGACAACAGGCAGGAGGTTTTTACCACCAACAAAGAGGAAAGGAGGAGCGACTCCAAAGATGCGCACCAGACGCATAGGAGGGAAGAAGACCGAAAATGGTGTGACTGACTCAGATGCCCACCCATGACACCACAGAGTGTCGGGAGTTCAGGGCCAGTTTGAAATACTTGCCACCCGGAGACCTAAAGAGCCACCTGGATACGCGGGCGCATCACCAGGAATGGAGACACAACAAAGAAAGCTCGTCGAGCCCAAGAAGGAGGTCCCACACGCCCAAGCGCAGAAGATCAAGGTCGCCGAGAAGAGAGCGATCTCCTCGACGCGACCGCTTACCGCCACCACCAAGAATATCTCCTCCACATCGGCAGCCTTGCCTCAATGACGACGATGTGGAAGTCATAACCATATCAGGCGGTCGCAAACGATCAAGAACTGAAGGAGACCGCCTAGTTCAATGTTTGAACGTTCATAAGAGTGGACAAGTAGAAATCAGCTTCGCGCCCTCCGAACTGGTGCCTGAAGAAAGTGGAGAAGATCCGTTGGTCATCTCCTTGAGAACAAGGAAGTTCAAAATCACAAGGGCGTTAGTAGATAACGGAAGCTCAGCAGACAACCTGTTCTACTCCACCCTCAAAAGCATGTAGATGAGCATGCAAGATCTCAAGCCATCGGCGGCGAGCCTAGTAGGATTCTCAGGGTCGAAGATTCGAGTGCTAGGTTTAATAACCTTGCAAGTAACAATTGGAGAAGCATATGTAAAGAAGACCCGCTCCATGGATTTTCACATGGCGGATTGCCCATCGGCATACAATGCGATCCTAGGACGTGGTTTCCTATTTCTATTCTCCGCGGTCCCGTCAACTTGCCATCAGATGCTTAAATTCCCAGCATGAGGAAGGGTGGGCCGCGTCAGAAGAAACACCGAACAAGCGAAGGAGTGTTATCAAGCGACGATTGAGAGCTTGAAGGTGGACCTAGCAGACACCCGAGGGGGGCACCCTCGTCCAGAGGCGGTCGAAGAGGGCGCAGGAGTTATACTCGACGACGAGGAGCCTGAAAATAAGGTGAGGATCTCTTCCCACCTCATGGAGGAAAAAGCGCGAGAACTCTTCCCACCTCACGAGGAGCCTGGAAGATTTGTTCGCATGGACCTTTGAGGACATGCCGAGCGTCTCAAGGGAGCTCGCCGAACACCTGTCAGTGAAAAGCAAATCAAAGCCCATTCAGCAGAGAAGGAGGAGCGCTTCCCCCGAAAAACAAATGACATTGGAAGAGGAAGTAAGGCAGTTGCTCAAAGCTGGTTTCATAAGAGAGGTCAAGTATCCGACCTGGCTGTCAAACCCAGTCTTCGTTCGCAAGGCATCCGGACTATGGCGAATGTGCATAAATTTCACAAATCTAAATGCGGCCTGCCCCAAGGACGCATACCCTCTGCTGAGAATAGATCAACTCATAAAATCAAGAGAAGATCAAGAGAATGTGCATCAGATCCGTCTATCCGAAGAAGATCATGAGAAGACCGCCTTCATGACCCACATGGGAAATTTCTGTTACATGGTTATGTCGTTCGGTCTCAAAAATGCAGGAGCAACATATCAGAGAATGATAGGTGCGGTCTTCAAAAGCTAGTTGGGGAGGAACGTGGAAGTATACGTGAATGATGTCCTGGTCAAGAGCAAGAAGGAGGAGGATCACCTGAAGGACCTGAAAGAAACATTCGAGAGCCTGAAAAGGGAACGCTTGCGGTTAAACCCGCTCAAGTGCGTGTTTGGTGCAAAGGCGGGAAAATTCCTGGGATTCATGATCACCAACAGGGGAATAGAAGCAAACCCAAATCTGATAGAAGCCCTAACTAGCCGAAGACCACTGAAGACCGTCAAGGAAATCTAGGCGTTCAATGACAAAATGGCCGCCCTAAGCCATTTCATCCCAAGGGCAGCAGACAAATGCTCCCTCTTCTTCCAGATGCTGAAAAAATTAGCATCCCGTTCCCAATGGAGTGTGGAGTGTGACAAGGCTTTCTTCCAACTGATTGAACAATTAACTTCCCCTCCCATACTGAGCGCCCCGCTACAAGGTGAGCCTCTGTACCTCTATTTGGCGGTCTCAGATCAAGCGATCAGCTCAGTCCTGATACGAAGAGATGGGAGTGGCTTAAATCATCTCGTCTACTACGTAAGCAAGGCGCTCCTCCCAGCTGAGAAGCGTTACATGCCCATCGAAAGGGCGGTCCTAGCAGTTGTTTCGGCCGCAAGAAAGCTGTGATCGTATTTTCAAGAGTACCAAGTGATCGTCCTCTCAAATCTCCCACTGAGGAAGATCCTGAAGGGAATGGATGTATCTGGAAGGATGACCAAGTGGGAGGTCTAACTTAGCGAGTACGACATTGCGTACGCCCCACGCCCTTCAATCAAAGGGCAAGTGCTAGCAGACTTCGTTGCTGACGGTTTCAGTCTGGAAAGCATGAAGGATAAAGGAGAGACAGAAGTGTGGCGTCTTTTCGTCAATGGGGCAGCCAGAAAAGGAGGAGCGAGAGCTGGGATTGTCATTGAAATTCGGCAAGGGTGGTGCACGAAATCTCTCATAGATTCCTCGAGTT